ATTATTAGGCGTGTTTTTGATAAGCGTTTAGCTAAATCTTGGTTAAGTAAAACTAACTTATAGGCATGCGGATTAACCAGTTCAAATCATTTGTAATCGATACCTAACATGAAAATACATTTTCAGGTAATTTTAACCAAGTTTTTACTGATGGCTTCATGTCGAAAAAGTCACAAAAGCTAATTTTTCACAGCGGCCAATTTTTGCTATTTGCTATTTTTTCAGGCTATACCTCAAACGTTTGTGTATTGATTGATTTGAAATTTGTACATATTTAGTTAACAAGATATTATTCTAAAGAAACTGTGTTTAACTACACTTCTTAACTCATATTAAAAGTTAAATTATGGATTTTTTAACTTAAAAAAAAAGTTAAGGTGGTGTTTTTTACAAATGCAAAATTTGTGTTACAAAGTTTAATTTTTATTTATTTTTTGCTTTAATGCAGCAATATAAACAAATATTCGAAGAAATTTTTGGGAAAGTTTCAAGTTGAAACACTAAGTAGTTCCAAAGTTATAACAATATTATTGTGATGCCACATCTTTCCACAAAATTTGATGTTTTGGCTAAAATTCATATTTGAGTGCACAAAATAAAATAAATTTCTTTCAGTGTCCCACCACATTCGTTCAAATTATAGTTACTTAGAGCCACGAAATGGTTTGGTATTCTTTCAAGGAATTGTATGCATTAGTTATTATCTATATTAAAAAATATCTTTCGCCGTTGTTTATGTTCCGACGATATAGTTATAAATAATTCACAATTGATCACAATCTTGAGTAAAATGTCCCACCAATCACAACGGAATGACCCAAAGCAAACAAAATGTGTAGACAAAGGCCGTGAAAGTTCCACCCCTAAAATGCTTCATTGTGTTCATTCTCATATGCAACTGTGAGCATTGTACCTAAAAACTGTATCGTACAAAAAGTTATAAATTTTAAGTAACTTTTAATTTAAAAACCATATTTAACCCGTCCTTTATTAAATTTACCATTTGCACTCTTAGGGCCGGTTGCTAAAAGCCTGGTTGACACTAATCTTCGGTTAAACATCGTTATCGACGTTAAAGGGCACCGTGTTATATGCATGGAGTCGAAGACGTCGATAACGATGTTAGCCGGAAATTAGTGTCAACCAGGCTTTGAGCAACCAGCCCTTAGACGTCTTTGTATTTATTCGTTTGGTTACACTTTTCTCTATCAAAATTATGTCTACCGTAAACGGCGACTATTTTTTTTGGCAATACAAGCCAATATCGCTTTTCACTTGCAAATATAAATACGCTGGCCAAGGCAACAAGCAAAGCTCATAGCTTAGTTCGACAAATATCTCATCCATAATTCAAATGTTCAAAATAAACGCCTTTCTGCATCTTGATGGTAAAGTCTCCAAATCAGTACATTCCGGTTCTTGTCCTAACTTAAAGTCCACATGTCTCCGTTTATCAGCCACCATGGCCAGTAAAGACACAAACCAATAAAGTGAGGTGAAATACATGTGTACGTATGTATGTAAGATTTCAACACGTTGAACTCGATTCACCTCAATACCTATACTGCTGTGCCCAACTTTAGGAATAAGGATTCATTGGGATGCGAGCAGATATTTGTATGAATTCGTTTGTATCTTTCATGGACTCTGTATATTACTTATGTATATCGACCCCCTTGCGCAAAATTATCGTATGTTAAATTTTTTACGAAATTCAGTTCTTGATGCAAGTTTGTTCTCCATCCCTTAAGACATCCATCACCTGTTAAAATAATAGCTCTGATCCAGTATTTCATGAACTTACAGGTTTTTACACGAACTTGCAGGAAGTCACAGGAAAAATGATACTCCATATTCCTCCAAAATCCTGTAAATGAGAGCGATTTTTGGAGAGTTGTGTAGAGAATGAAGTTGCAAGATTTTACCCGAAATTTTCCTGTTGGTAAAATCATGAAAAGTGTAAAGCGATCACTGGTTGACGTTGCTTTTCGTGTTCCCTTACTTTTTGTTGTTACTCATTTTTATACCTTTCATGAGCATGAACAACATGAGAACAAAAAGAGATAGACCCATGAAAATGTATACTTATATGATCAGAACGTCGAGCTGAGTCGATTTAGCCATGTCCGTCTGTTCGTCTGTTTGTATGCAATCTAGTCTCTCAGTTTTCGAGATATCCGGATAAAATTTGGTAGGTGGGTGTATTTTTATAATGTATTAATCATTTGTCGGAACCGGAAGAATCGGACCACTATAACATATAGCTCCCATACAACCGATTGTTCAGATATGAGATTTTCCGTTATAACTTTCCCATTTATGCAGCTATGAACATGAAATTTTGCAGTACTTGCACCAATTATAAACAGTGAAAATTACAAAGATCGGGTCACTATAACCTATAGCTCCCATACAACTGATTGTTCAGATATGGGATTTTTCGTTATAACTCCTCCATTTATGTAGCTAGGACCATGAAATTTTGCGCTGATTTTACTTATTATCAACAGAAGACTTACAGTGAAAATAACAAGGATCCGGTGACTATAACATATTAACATATATGTATCTTCCATACATCTGATTGTTCAGATATGGGATTTTTCGTTATAACTCCTCCATTTATGTAGCTAGGACCATGAAATTTTGCGCTGATTTTACTTATTATCAACAGAAGACTTACAGTGAATGAAACAAGGATCCGGTGACTATAACATATTAACATATATGTATCTTCCATACATCTGATTGTTCAGATATAAGATTTTACAGTAAAACTCCTTTATTTGGACAGCTAAAACCGATAAATTTCGTAGGCTATTTTATAAATAATAACACAAATTCTACTAAGAAAATCGTCAAAATCTATTCTGTATAAGCTTTATCTCTTATACCACTGATTGTTCAGATACCAGTTTTTGCGATATACATATCTCCTTTATGTAGGAAACTAAACCCAATAAATTGTGTTACCGGTTTACATACCGATCACATAGCAGTGAAAATCACTGAGATTGGTGCTATATAAGGTATATCTTATATCTTCCATACCTCTTATTGTTAATATGCGATTTTATATATATGTAAGTATGTAACTCCTCTATCGATGTATGCAGATGTATTCGAAAGCAGTAATCTGTCAAAGTAAAATTTGCAGATGTTCATGAAAGGTATGAAGCCTTCGGCATAGCCGAAGACAGCGCTGCTCTTACTTGTTTACTCTTACTTCAGAGAGTAATTTTTCGAAATATGACATTTTTACAGGATTTTACATGAAAAGTATTGGATCAGAGCTAATATGGGAAGAATTTTTATCGGGAAGAAAACGTGTATTTTATGTCGAATACTTTCAAAGATATATCACCAGAAAATAATGAAAATTCGCTTCAGATAATATGCTTTTTAAAATACATTTATGCAAGTTTTATGTACAGTATGTAATAAATAAACGTTTTAAAATTTTACAAATTGCACTTTATTAACATAAAATTAACAAAGAACTCAAACATTTTTAGCCGACTTCAAAAAATTGAAGGGGGAGGTTATCAATTCGTCGGGATATTTTTTAATTTTATTTTTTATGTATGCTACCGCATAACATTGTACGATGTGAACCCATTTCAATAATTCTATTTTTTATCGGAAAGATGGAACCTCAAGGGTCGTTCCGTAATTTGGTTTAGATCCTTTCATTGGATCATGAAACTTGTATATGAGAATTGATGTCGGTTGTGTTTAAAAAAAATTTAATTAATTAATTAAAACTAAATTAAAATTACTTGTTTTATAAAAAGTTCTAAAAACAGGAGATGCGCTCAACTCATTTTAAGTTCATTTTACTCGATTTCTGGTTTCTGGTTTTCGATGGACCAACCAATTACCATCGATCCTTGCTGAAGTCTAGAAAAAAGAAGTCTGATGAGGAGATGTGGTGATCTCAGAAATAGCTGCTACAACTTCTGCTTTGTTGCTTTTTCAATTTTCCCTAATAAACAAAATCGTGGTACTCAACTCAATAAAAATATTAAAATTTTACAAATTTTAATAAGCCACAATTAAATTGACAAATACACGCTCCTTGATGTAGATAGACCGACCTATGTTTTTTGAGCTATATTTTTATTATAATCCGAAACAAAACCTGAATTATTTATTTCCCATCTATTTCTCATTACCAGGCAGTCATCGTTATGACAGACATCATACGTAATCAAAGTACAGGAAAACTAGGCCAATTCACCACACCTGTTGGTTTTCAACAAATATCGCGTGACATGTTGCTCTCCAGAAATGACTCACGACTCAGATTGGTCAAATTCGATACAGAACACATAAGAAAGGCGATACCAATGAAAGTGGCGACACGGAAAAATTTCGGTAAAAGATTTAAATATTTTATCATTTTTCATTTTTTCTTGGCCCCTTTTTAACTGTACATCGATCTTTTTTCCCTCTCCTACCCTTCAGGACGGCGATATTGCTTCATTGATATGCTGTTTGTCGGCCTGCGCAACACTAAGGACTTTGACTCACCAGAGGAGCTGGTCGAAATCAATGAAATTTTGCGTAAACTTGACACAGATATGCGCACACCTATGGATGTTATGGCAGTGCCACATCGTATTGTCTTCGCCGAGATTTTTATGCGCTTTCGCCGTGACTATACACCTAACGCAGATAATGCATCAAACAATGTGAAGGACAGAGAGTGGTCTGTGTCATTCTACAAAATTCTTACATTCGATGTACTAAACTACGATCCGAAGCCCTGAATTGGAAGGTTACCATCGATGGAATAAACTTTTCTTAACTTACAATTCCAGAAGGATATAAACTGAGCTGAAAGTTTTATAAAAGCATATTTACTAAAATACATACATACACACATATATTTAATGAATATTAATATTATTTATTAGTCAACGTTTTTAAAAAAACCGCAAAAATAGTACCAAAAATAGTTATTAATATAGGCTTTTACAATAATATGTCGATCCTTGTTAGAGCTCATTGCAAACACAGAAGTTCAGGTTTGTTTGTGCAAGCACTTAGCCGGTTTATAAGGCAACAAAGGTGTCACCGTCAAGGTTTTCAACATGTCTTCAATATTTTCCCGCTTGCTCATTAGCTTTATGAAGTCTATATATTTTTGATTCTCTTCCAAAAGTTCACGCTTCTCTTGGGCAAGAATGAGATTCTGAGCCTCGGCAAGAGCTGTACGATGCCAAAAGTTCTTCATAAGTTGCATTTGCCTTAAAAGCTCCTGCAAGAAACAAGGGGAAAGTCATGGAGTGGCATGCATGGGAACTGAGACGAATAACGAAGTTTTACTGCCAAGGTTCACAAGAAGTGAGAGCAGTTCTTTCAATAAGAAAAACAAATTCACATTTACCGCATCGGACATGTCCACATGTGATTCCAAGTTCAGAGCTTTTAAGCTGAACTCTATTTCCTCCTCGGACAGCTTATCCTCATCTTTGGGCGCCACCACTTTTTCCGATTCTGTTTGCAACTTACGGCAGCTGGCGGTGAGTGAAAGCAGCAGCTCGCCATATTTCAATAGCTTTTGGTAGTCCTGTGCGGCGACAAAGTTACATATTATGCATACATACAATTAACCACCGAATAAAATCATGCCAAATTTCCACCATGCCAAATCTTTTGTGTAAAGGGCAGATCATTTTTTAAATGTAATTGACAAAATGTCTTTCAAGAACATCGATTTTTTCATTGCCCAGATTTAAGCCGGATTTATCGTTCTAGTTCTGAACTAAGTCCGAATTTATCATTAATTTTTTTTTTGTCATTTAAAGCCCAGTGGAAATCCAACATTATGCTTTCGCCAACCTTCAGCATGCCATAACACTCGCCGGAGAAAATTTGCAATTTTTCGAAAGTTTCGCGCCTGTCGTTATGAATACTTTGTTCGATTCCTTTCCGCACCTGCATGAAGTACTCTCGTTCGAGACGTAAGTCGGCCAATCGTCTCTGCGCCTCTACTTCATTGTGGACCAATTCGCGCTGCAAATCGCCAGCGGTGCGCGTCAGACGAAATTCGATGTCGTTCATCTTTCGCGACTCGGTAACGAAATTACGCTGCCGTTGCATCAGCCCGTGGATGTGCTCATACTTTTTGGCATCCAATGAGGTATCCACCAGCGAGCTAATGAAGTCGATGAGTTGTTTGTGGAGAGCTTTCATTTTTGCGATGACGCTGTCTCGTATTTGAAAGCGTTTCTCGATCTCAGTATTCACCGCGTTATCCTGCTTCTCCACGAAGATATTATAGTCCGAAAGCATTTGATTTTCCACTACGAAATTGGTGGCATGCATGATATTTTCACAGTTGAGTCGAAACCCATCCTCGATATCTTTCCGAGAGTTTAGTTCTTCGTGGAATTCTTGGATCATTTGCTGTGCCTCAGATTCGTAGAGCTGCTTAGAAACTGCGATCAGAGTGTTGTAGCAATCTATTTCGGAAGAGTTTGAGTAAAGTGTTATTTCTTCTCAATATAATAAACTCAGTATACGGAAACTACGTAATTAGTAGATCGAAAGTACTTTAATTCAATGTTATGCCGGAGAAATATTTTTTCCGTTGCCGATAAGAGTTATTTTCCAACGTTTATTTTTTACGTTGCTTGATAAGAGTTATTATACAACGTTTATTTTTTACGTTGTCTGGTGAACGTTGTAAGATTAGCATATTGATGAAAATTGAGATGAAGGACAAGATAAAAATGATGAAATAAAAGTGAAAGAGTGAAATAACTCTTATCTGACAACGTAAAAATAAACATCGGGCAATAACTGTTATCAAGCAACGTAAAAAATAAACGTCGGGAAATAACTGTTATCAAGCAATGTAAAAAATAAACGTTACGACATAACTCTTATCGGCAACGGAAAAAATATTTCTCATTTAATAACTGTTATGAAACAACGTTTTCGTTAAATTTCAGAATTTGGGCAACGTTTTCAATTTGCAAATTCGAGATAACAGTTATTTTTGGACCCTTCTTTAATTACGGTTTCTTTGGCCCGTATTTTGACATATCTCGGCAGCCGGTTCGAAAACACCCTAACGTCTTAAGAATCTCGACTGAGAATATATTAGAAACATGTTGGGATAGTGCGATTTTGAATCGGCAGCTGAGAAAGTGCGCTTTTAAATCAAATACTGAAATAGGGCGTTCTTGAAAAGTTGTCTGAAATAGGACGTTTTCGAACTTTATACCAAGGTGGATCTATTTTGCACTTTGCCGACGATTTACTGCTTACTTGTGGCATAATCCAGCACCTGCAGATGGCGTTCGAAATTTCGTTTGGCCATATCTTTTGTGGACTCCATATCTGCAAGCAGGTTTTGTATTTTCTCATCCTTCTGTTGCATTACCCGCTGCGTTTTATTCTCCCACTCCTTTCAAATATCCAACAATTCAAGCTAATTTTTTTTGATGTTGTCATACCGTACTTACCAGCACTTCAGATTTCAGTTCCCCTATCTTGATTTCCCTACATATTTCCTCCCAATCCTCTCTGCTTTTCCTTGCAGATCGCATGTATAACTCGAGCTCCCGTTGTAAATTTTGCTAAATTTAGAAGTCACCGCAAGCGTTAATAACCCACAACTACTTTACTTTTTGTTAGGCTTACAGTTAACTCCAACTTCTTAGACTCGGCCTCCCTTTTCAATTTTAGCTCTTCTTTCTGCGCTTTTGTCAAGGTCTTCTTTTTCCTTTTCTTGGCCGGTGCTATTTTCGCTGGTTTTGAAGTTTTTGCTTCGATATTGGCTAAAGAATTATCATCAAGTGCCGTTACAAGTGGGGCGTCGGCTCCAGTTTCCATAATTATTTCATTTATTTGCAAATAATTTTTCTATATAAGAAATATTTTTATATGAAAGCTTTGGCAAATATAATATCAAAAATTCAAATTTCCCAAAAAAAAATTAGGTATGTGAGTATTTAAAAAAACCAAAAATGGGGCAACATTCTTTGAAATAATCGATAAACCTGTCTTTATGGAACAATTATCGGAACTATATAAGGATTTCCGTTTGAAACCATGTCTATCACTGATTTTTGGGCATTTTTGAGAAATGTAAAAACTGCGATGATTCATTCACTACTGAGGACAAATTATCCAAAATTTTTATAGTAAGTAATCTTTTAGCAAAAAATTAATAACTTTTTAGGGCAATATCAGTGTCCAACGGACGTTGGGTTAAGGCACTATCCATCATGTGGCCCATATGTGCTTCCCTCTCCCTACTCGTTTAAACTCAAACAATTTCAACTAGAGATGTCAGCGATTAATCTTTTGGTTAAATCAATTGATTATTTTTGTTCAGATTTAATTCTTTCGTAGTTTTGTGTTTCAATAATCGATTATTAATCGATTAATTGTAACATAGTCGTAAAAATCTTTTCAAGAAATATGAATTCTGTAGTTGTCTAAAATCCATCAATCGAACATTCATTTTTGCTAGCTGCATCAACTTTACTCAACCCGAGGCTCAAAAAAATTTTATTCAAAGATCGTTAGTATAAAGGAAGGTCGAGATTCTTCGTACGAGGTAATCTCGACAACTACCGAACGGATTTTGACGAAATTTTCCCCAATATACTCTGTATCGACAGGAGAGTGACTCTTTTTACTTCGAATTTTAATAGGGTTGCCACCTGTGTAAAAAATTATAAACTACGCATTGTTCGTTGGATTACAAAAGATGAGGTGTCAAATGAAAGGGATTGGCCTTTAGAAAAGCACTAACATTTTTTTTTTAATAGGGTTGCTACCTGTTAATAAAATTCCTATATTCAATCATAATAAGAGTAGGCATCAGTTCTCCACCGTCACTGTCAAACGAAAAGACTTAGCTTCTACCTATTAAAAAGCTAAAATACTTTCGCTGTCGGTCAAGATGTTTTGACAACGCTAATCTCAACAACTACTGAACGGATTTATACGAGATTTTATAAGTACAGCCTGTATCGGTAGGAATATTATCTTTAGTACTTTAAATTCCTATAGGGTTTTATCCTGTCTAAAAACTTATTAGATCCGCATTGTTCGTTGGATTACAAGAAATGAGGTGTCAAATAAAAGGAATCGGCTTTTAGATGTTAAATAATGCATTACCTTTTGAGTAAGGTTTCCACTTTTTAACAATTATAACATCTTCACCGTTACAAGAAATGAGGTGTCAAATGAAAGAGCATGGCATCCGATGCGCGATTATATATTATTTTTTAGTAGGGTTGCAACCTGTTTAGTTGTCCGTCGCATAGAATAACAAGTAAGAAAGTCTAAGTTCGGGCGGAGCCGAACATTAAATACCCGGCGCAAGTATTAAATATGTTTTTTCACCTTTCCGAAACCTACCGCTAGATGGTAAGCCGGGGTGTATCAATGTTGAGTAAATTAACGTCCTTAAATTTCGAAATATTGCAGTTTCAAGCATTTATGAAATTTACCGTTATATGAAAAGCGGCCCCAATTTTAGTCCGATTTCAATAATTTTCAACGTTTTGCTTATATGTGGCAAGCACAATATCCACACCGAGTTTGGTACAAATTGGTAGAACGGTTACCGATATACTTATATGAGATCATAAGTGGGCGGTGCCACGCCCATTTTCCAAAGTTTTACCATAATCGTATTTCTTGGTAAAGAATTGTTGCAAGCATCAATTTTGAATAAATTAGCTTC